AGTGCAAAAAACGGTTGCCTCCTGGAAATAAGCATAAGGGATGTGATGTAGTAAATGCCAAGTTCATTTACTACTATTCCTACCTGCTCATCCATTTAAAACAAATGATACCACCAAAGCTGGCTACAAGTAATCATATTGGAATTTAGATGTTTAGAGAAGAAGCTGAATCACCAGTGAACTCAGGCAGCATTTGTGACTGATTTCTAGGATCTTACCCAATAACTCCAAACAGAGGATGCAGTGAACCAATGCTCTTTATTGATCAATGTTTCTTTTACAGGTATTTGGCTGGAAGTGGCCCCTGGACTCCTGGACCATGTCTTAAGTACCTGGGAGGCGGAGCTAAGGTAAGGAGGGGTCAGGGGAGGATCTAGGTGGATGTAGAGTTAACCCTTATCATACCTGGGATGGTGAATGGTGGGCATTTATACTTAACAAATCCCCCTCTAAATGCCCAACAGTTGGACCTGCTTGCATGTTCTGTACCCGTACCCCTAATTTAGACGTAAGGTAAGCATGTTGTTTGCTGGGTAGAGGTTTGGTCAGGATGTCTGCGGCTTGCTCGGCGGTCTCACAATGTACGGCCTTAATAAAACCAATATTCGTTAATTCTCTGACATGCTTGTGCTTAATGTCTATATGTCTGGACCTTTGGCCTACTGCTTCTGCCATGGATATGTCTATGGCTGCTTTGTTGTCCTCATGTATTACTATCGGGTAGGCCGGTTCGGTCCATATGCTGGTAAGTAGATCGTCAAACCATGTCAGATTATTGGCTGCTTTGGAGAGGCAGATGTACTCTGCCTCAGCTGTGGAGGTGGCTACCAGGTTTTGTTTTCCGGTGTACCAGTGTACTGGGCAGCCGTTAATGAGGAATACGTAGCCGGATGTGCTCTTTCTACTTTTTGTGTCGCCTGCCCAGTCAGCGTCTGCATAGGAGGTTAGTATGGGTTCTTTGGACATCTCTGGTTCTAGGTTCAGGCATGCATCCATGCTGTGTTTTAGATATCTGAGCACACGTTTTACCCCCTCCCAGTGATACATCTTTGGATCGCTGACATGTCTGGATTGCCTCCTGGTTGACAGCCAGGAGGATGTCTGGTCTAGTCCAATTAGCTATATACAGTAGTGACCCAACAACAGACCTATAGAGGGTATTGTCCTTGAAGGTCTTGCTTTCCTCATTCATGTGTTTCACGAAGTCAATATGTATTGGCGTGTCACATGGCTTGGCTTCCTTCATGTTGCATTTAATTAACAGATCCAGTATTTTCTCCTTTTGAGAGATCTTGAATCCCTTCTGAGTTCTATCAATCTGGACACCCAGGTATTTGTTCACCTTTCCCAGAGTCTTTAGTGCGAAATGTTTCCCCAACTGGTTGGCAAACTCATCGCAATTTTGTTTATGCTGACCACAATATAAAATGTCATCCACGTAGATGAGTACGTACTCTATGGATGTGCCCTCTCTCTTGGTGAAAAAGCCTAGGTCGGCGGAGGTGGCTGTGAACCCCATGTCCTTAAGGAACTTCGCTAGGCACTCGTACCACCTCTTACCGGACTGTTTCAACCCATACAGACTTTTGTTCAGCAACCACGTGTCCCCCCCCCTTGTGTGTTTCTCCCTGGGGGTGCCCTGACAAAGATCTCCTTATCTAGCTTCGCGTGGAGGTAGGCTGTCTGCACGTCGAACTGGTAGACTTCTAACCCTAGGATTGTGGCTATTACTAGAGCGCTTTTTACACTCTCTGCCCTGACCATGGGTGAGTACGTGTCAGTGTAGTCCTCCGGGTATCTCTAGGCAAACCCTTGTGCTACTAGCCTAGCTTTGTACAGTTTCTTATTGTCCTCTAGCTCTTTGACTTTGAAAACCCATTTAGTCCCAATGGCTACTTTGTTTTCTGGAACTCTGGATGGGGTATACACATTCAACTCCCTCAGGCTGTTCATCTCCTTATCTATGGCCTCCTCCCATCTGTCCCTTTCCTCTCGTGGTAACTTAAGGATGTCCTCGTAGGAGTTGGGTGTTGTGGTGCCTGTGTGTATTGAGAGTATGTAATCATCAAATCTCTTAGGTAGTTTGTTTCTGTTGTTTCTTATGGGCCTGCTGGGTATTGTTTCTGAGTCGTGCATGTGTTGGGCCTCCCTCTCAGTGAGTGCATCTACTTTTACCTTTAGGATGGGGTGGTTCTCTTTCCATTCTTTGGTGTTTACCCTTTTGTGTTTGGGTTTTTGTTTCTCGTGTGTTTCGCTTTCGGTTGTGTCTGGTTTGTTATTGGTCCTAGCATTGTCATCAGTTTCTTGCCCGGGCAGTATCTCATTGAGGTGTATTCTTGACCAGTTTGTGTTCTCGTGGAACACAGCTGATCTGGACACGACAAATCTGTTGTCTTTGTCAATGAACCTGTAACTTTTGGTTCCGGACTCATACCCCATGAATCTTAGTCTCCTTGACACTTTGTCCCCTTTTCTCCTTAACTGTTTGGGTATGTGTACATCTGCAGTTACCCCAAATATGTGCAGGTGTGCTATCTGAGGCTTCCTATTGTACATGACCTCGTAGGGAGTTTTGTTCACTACGCTTGACCATACTCTGTTCAGTGTGTAGTTTGAATATGTGAGTGCCTCTGCCCAGAAGTGTTGCCCTAGTCCGGCGTCTTCTAAGACGCACCTTACCATTGTTTGTAATACGCCGTTTTTGCGTTCTGATACTCTGTTCTGGAATGGCGAAAACGGAGAAGAGAAGTGTAGTATCCCGTGCTTCTTTGTCCAATTGGAGAAGTCCCTTGATAGGAACTCTGAGCCCCTATCTGTCATGATTTGTTTTATTTTTACGTTATGTTGAGTTTCTATCCTTTTGTAGAACTCTTTAAATTTTTGGAACACCTCACTTTTGTGGTTGAGGGTGTATACAAATCCGTAACGGCTATAGTCATCGACTATGGTTAGGAAGAACCTCTTCTTGTATTTAATAGAGGATCTCATGGGTCCCACCACGTCCATGTGAACTAATTGGAATATTGAGTTGGTGGTGCGGGAGGCCTTCTTGGGCCTTGGTTTGGTTTTGATTTTCGAACATTTACACACAGAACACTCCAAATAATTTTTGCAGTTCTTTAATGGCAAGCCATTTGAGCATTCATTCATCTTTTGTACCATTGGAAAACTAGCGTGGCCTAATTTTCTGTGTAGTAAGTGGGCGCACTCATCATGAATGGGTTTGCCAATGTGTGGTTTCCCTTTGTGTGTTGTGTTTGTGGTGGGTTTGCCTCCTGCAGTGTGTTCTCCTTCACCCCCTCTATTTTCTGTGGGCGTGCTTGTCTCTTTCTCATTACTTTCTGAGTTAGTGTTTGAGTGCTCTTGGGGTACTAAGTAGGTGAGTCCCCCTTCTATGATGATCTTTCCTATACTTCTCTTTCCTTTGGTCATATATACTTTCCCTTCCCTGAAGGTTGTCTCAATGCCCAAGTCTTTACTTAGTTTGAGTGTTGCTAATATATTGTGGGGTATTTCTGGAATGAATAGTACCCCCTCTATCTTCCCTATTCCATCTATGTGTGCGCTCCCTTCTCCTTTCACCAATACCTTGTTCTGGTTGGCTACATTGATGTGGTATTCCTTAGGTGTGAATGCCTCCAGTATGTTCCTATTGTTGGTGGTGTGGCTGGTGGCTCCTGAGCCATGTGTTCCTTCCTTTTGCCTGGGTGTTTGGGTGTTGGTGGTCTCTAAGTTCATATAGTGACCCAGTCTGACTATCCCTGGAGCTATCCCTATATCCTCTCCTGTCCCTGGGGTTGGGTGAGTCCCTGCGCCTGAACCTGCTTTCTGGGGAACGCCTGTCTGAGTAACCTGGTTTGCGGCCTTGCCTTTCCCTACGGTAGCTGTGGTCCCTGTCCTTCTGGTTTCTGGGGCAATCTCTCCTATAGTGATTCCTAGACCCACAGTTAAATTAGACCCACAGTTAACATTCTGGTTTATCTTGGTCCCTGGTCTGGAAGTCTACCCTTTTTATTGGTCTGCTCTCCCTGTGGCTTGATGAGCGTCCTCTTCTCAGGCTGTCCTCCGCTATCAGCCTGTTGGATAATGTCTCTAAAGAGAGGTGCTCTGTGTTGAGACTATCCAGCTGCATGATAAAGTTCTCCCAACTGTGGTCTAGGGAGTTTATGATGATGCTTTTCATGCTATCATCAGAAATGTTTCCCCCCCCTTTGTATGAGTTCTGCCCTGGTGGTGTTTAGCTTGAGTATATGCTCCCCCATGGGTGTTCCTGCCTTATGCCTGGCTGAGTAAAATTCCCTGGATATTTTGGTTGTAGTGGCTGCACTCTTACTGTAAAATAAATTAAGTATTTTTTGTAGTATCTCTGCCACGGTTAAGTGGCGGCCAAGACTGGGGAAAATGCTGGGTGACAAGCTAGACATTAACAGATAGTAAGCCCTGTGGTACAAACAGTCAATCTCAAAAGTCCATGGCTTCTTGGGTGGGTCATCAAATAAGTACAACATATTTTCTTTCAGAAAAGCAATTTGTAGTTGGTGGTTCCACTCCAAAAGATTGGACCCATCTAATTTCAATTTGTGATTGTCAGCAGTAAAAGTTACGTTACTTACAGTCTGGTGCTGTCCATGGTTCTTTATGTGAGTGAACTCGCAATATGCTGGCGGAATGCTTGTTGCCAGTCTGAACTGACTTATCTCTATGTTCCTTTCTCTTCCTGTAGGTGGCGACTGAGCATGCGCGAGGCTCATTTCACGCCGGAGGTCGTCTGGTGAGGAGCTCCTTGTTGCTGCTCTCAGGCCTAGGCCTAGGCCTGCTGGTGGGGGGCTGGGCTCGCTCCTGATGGGCCCGTAGCCCTCCCTGGACGGCTGGGCCCCTGCATCTTGGGCGAAGAGTGGAAGAAGGCAAGGAGGTGAGGTCGCAGGTCGAGGATCCCTGGAGACAGTGGCGGCAGAGGTCGTAAGTCGAGGATTCGGCGGTGCAGCAGCGGCGGCGGAGGCGGTGGATCCTGGGCGACGCTGGAGGACCTCCGGATGGGTCAGAAAGCCTGGTGGAGGCCGCATGGCTGGTGAGTCGTTGTTTCTTCTCCTCATTCCACAGCCTAGGGAAGTTGGTGCGGCGGGTGGCGAGTGCGAATCCTGCGGGTATTCAGTCCTGCAGGTGGCCGGGTCTTGGGTGTAGTTTTTGGGGTGCGTTGTCCCACGTGGTGTCTGCAGGTATGCTGCAAGGGTTCCAGTGACTACCCTGCTGCTCTTTTGGGGGTGCTGAGCATCAGTTTGTTTCTTCCTGGCTCCTGGGGGCTTGAGTGTTGAGCCGAGTGCTGCAGCCAGGTTTCCGATCGATTCGTCTGCTTCGGGCTTGATGAGTGAGCCCCCGCAGGCTTCCGATCTTGCTTGGGTGTTGTTTTGGGGGTCTTCCCCAGCGAAGTTGGGGTTCTCGCTGTTTCCCGCCATTCGATTTGAATCTCGGCTTCCCATTGGCTGTTGGCCATTCCAAGATGGCCGCCAAGAGCATGGCGCGGAAATGAAATCCTCTACGTCCGGAGCTTCAGCTTGGGGATACCTTCCTCTTGCTGGGCTGGGGATTTCTTTTCTCTGTTGCTGGATGCTCATCGCTGCTCCATTGCTTTCGAGTAGGCTTTGGAGTTTCACGATGAGTTCCTCTTTGCTGGCGGTCACTTCCATTATATCCAGGATGGTGGATCGGACTTCTTCGTTGCTTAGTGGCTCTGCCCTTTCGCAGTAGTAGATTTCTTCTCTTGGCCCTTCATCCCTGGGTTGTGGACTCGGGTTGTAGTCTCCATCACCTTCTGTTGTGGTGGTCCTTGCTGTGGCAACTTCAAGAGCCTGCAATTCTTTCATCTGCTTGATGTAGGCTCTGGTGGCCATTCTTTTCTCTGCCTCTGTCTGGGTTCTTGATTCTGCCATCTCTGTGAGTTGTGGGTAAACCATCCTCTGCTACCAACCTGTGACTGATTTCTAGGATCTTACCCAATAACTCCAAACACAGGATGCAGTGAACCAATGCTCTTTATTGATCAATGTTTCTTTTACAGGTATTTGGCTGGAAGTGGCCCCTGGACTCCTGGACCATGTCTTAAGTACCTGGGAGGCAGAGCTAAGGTAAAGAGGGTTCAGGGGAGGATCTAGGTGGATGTAGAGTTAACCCTTATCATACCTGGGATGGTGAATGGTGGGCATTTATACTTAACAGCATTCCATTCATCCTTAAGAGTCTATGGAAGAGGACTGAAAAGACAAAAAAATATTTACCTAATTACAGAATAAATGAGTTGGAAGGGACCTTGGAGATCTTTTAGTCCAACCCACTCCTGAAGTAAGAGACCCTATACCCGAGAGGTGGCATGCCACAAAGAGAGGGCTGCGGGGTTTTTTAAAACTGTCCTTGTCTAAACTTTTAAGGGGTTTGGGGAGGGGGGAGGGGGGTTGGACAGGAAGTAGGGTCGTGGGTTTGGGGGATAACCCACTTAGGGGAGGGTCGGGCCAGGCCGGGATGTGCGGCGGGGGGCGGGGGGGATCCGGGGGTAATAGGGGGGGGTCAAGCTTGTCCAGACTGTGTTTCTATCATTGGTACTGTGAGTGGGAGGGGTAGATATGGCGGGAGCAGGGGGCCATATCATGTTAAGGGAGCGCGCTGTCTCCAAGCGGTAGGGCGCTCCGGCCCCCAAAGCTCTACTCGATTTCCAGGTTGCACAGATCCTCAGGGCCTGGGCCTTCGACTGATGTTGTGCAATGCCAGGTCTGTAGTAAATAAAGCCCCCCTCATTTGTGATCTTATTCAGGAGGGGGGAGCGGACCTGGCGGGTATTACAGAGACCTGGTTGGGCCCGGAGGGAGGGGTCCCTCTGGTAGAAATGTGCCCACCAGGCTTCCACACATTCCATCAGCCGAGGCCTCAGGGGAGGGGCGGGGGAGTAGTGGTTATTATTAGAGAAGGTCTTAGGCTGAGGGAGACCACTGTTCCTCAGACGGCTGGTTGTGAGTCCCTCCTTGTGAAGTGGGGTCATGGGGTGCAGATGGGCTTGTTGATCACGTACCTGGCTCCCTGCCACGTGGCTGCAGCCCTGCCCGAGCTACTCAATGTTATCGCCGCGGTGGCGGTTGATACCCCCAGACTTATGGTCATGGGGGACTTTAATCTGCCGTCCGTGGGTGAGGCATCTGAGGTGGCTCGGGAGTTCATGGCTTCCATGACGGCCATGGACCTGACCCAGTTAATTCATGGCCCTACGCACAGGGGGGGAAACACACTGGACCTGGTTTTTGTCTCTGGACAGTGGTTGAGTGATCTTGAGATAGGGGACATAGTCACTGAGCCCTTGTCATGGTCGGATCACTCTCTCCTTCGCCTTGACCTTCAAACCGTGGTACCCTGCCGCAGGGAGGCGGAACCGGTCAAATGGTACCATCCCAGGCGCCTGATGGAACCCGATAGGTTCCAAATGGAGCTTGGGCCAATCTCCGAGGATCTTGCACACGCCTCGGCTGGAGACCTAGTGGCCGCCTGGGATAGAGCAGCTGCTGGAGCTCTGGATTGAGTTGTGCCTTTGCGGCCTCTGACCCGGCGCCGTTCTCACCTGGCTTTTTGGTTTACTGAGGAGCTGAGGGAGATGAAGCGCTGGAAAAGATGCCTAGAGAGTAGTTGGAGGGCTAGTCTTTCTGAATCCGACCGGACACTGGTAAGATCTCATATTAAGACTTACCTAGTGGCGATAAAAGCAGCAAAATGTACCCATTTTGCTGCTCTTATTGCATCATCAGATAATCGCCCGGCCGCCCTGTTTAGGGTGACCCGCTCCCTGTTCCACCAGGAAGCGTGGGAGGACCCCTTGGAGGGAAGAGCCGAGGATTTTGTTCAATATCTGCATGACAAAATCACTCAGATTCGGGAAGGTCTGGACTCCGACTGGGTAGGTCCAGCGAGGGTGACGGAGGCAGGTCTTGAGAATGTTATCTGGGACGAGTTTGATCCTGTGACCCCAGATGACGTGGACAGGATTCTGGGTAGACTGAACGCGACCACATGTTTGTTGGACCCGTGTCCCTCCTGGTTAGTACTGGCTTCCCGGGAGGTGACGCGAGGCTGGCTCCAGGGGATTATAAATGCTTCATTGGGTGAGGGTACCTTCCCTGCCGCCTTGAAGGAGGTGGTGGTGAGGCCTCTCCTCAAGAAGCCTTCCCTGGACCCGGCAGTATTGGCTAATTATCGTCCAGTCTCCAACCTTCGCTTCGTTGCGAAGGTTGTTGAGAGTGTGGTTGCACGACAGCTTCCCCAGTACCTGGATGAAACGTCGTATCTAGATCCGTTCCAGTTGGGTTTCAGGCCTGGGTACAGCACGGAAACGGCATTGGTCGCGTTGGTTGATGATCTCTGGAGGGCTCAGGACAGGGGTTGCTCCTCTGTCCTGGTCCTGTTAGATCTCTCAGTGGCTTTTGATACCATCGACCATGGTTTCGGGGTGAAGTACCATCAGTACGCTGACGACACCCAGCTGTACATCTCCACCCCGGACCACCCCAACGATGCCCTTGAAGTGATGTCCCGGTGCCTGGAGGCCGTATGGATCTGGATGGGGAGGAACAGGCTCAGGCTCAACCCATCCAAGACTGAGTGGCTGTGGTTTCTGACGTCCCAATATAGTCAGCTGGTGCCATTGCTGACTATTGAGGGTGAATCATTGGCCCCCACGGAAAGGGCTCGCAACTTGGGCGTCCTCCTGGATTCACGGCTGTCTTTAGAAGATCACTTGACGGCCGTGACCGGGAGGATTTTTCATCAGGTTCGCCTGATCCGCCAGTTGCGTCCCTTTCTAGATCGGGACTCCCTACACACAGTCACTCATGCCCTCGTCACCTCTCGTCTGGACTATTGTAACACTCTCTACATGGGGCTCCCCTTGAGGTACACTTGGAGGCTCCAACTGGCGCAGAGTGCGGCTGCACGGGTGGTTATGGGAGCAACATGGAGCTCCCATGTAACACCTCTCCTGCACGAGCTGCACTGGCTCCCGGTGGTCTTCCGAGTGCGCTTCAAGGTTTTGGTTACTACCTTTAAAGCGCTCCATGGCTTAGGACCTGGTTATCTACGGGACCGCCTGCTACCACCAATAGCCTCCCACCGGCCAGTACGCTCCCATAGAGAGGGGCTCCTCTGGGTGCCGTCGGCCAAACAATGTCGGCTGGCGGCCCCCAGGGGGAGAGCCTTCTCTGTGGGGGCACCTACTATCTGGAACGAGCTCCCCCCGGAGATACGGAGGATCCCGGATCTTTGCACCTTCCGTCGCGCGCTTAAAACGTTTTTATTTCATCAAGCTGGCCTGGCCTAAATCATCTCCTCTTTTAAATTTAAATTTTAAACATAAATTTTTAATCTGTTTAATTATGGGGTATTTTAAAATTCAGCCTAAATTATTTAATCTGTTTTAATTTATTTTAGATTTTGTATTTCCTGTGTTTTATCTTCTGGCTGTTCACTGCCCTGAGTCCTTCGGGAGAAGGGCGGTATAGAAATTTAATAAAATAAATAAATAAATATACCATTCTGGAAATATACCATTCTGTCCAGCCTCTTAAAAACCTTCAGCAATGGACCACCTAAAGTTCTGGAGGCAAGCTGTCCCATTGATTAATTGTTCTCACTGTCAGAAATGTCCAGATTGCATCTCTCTTTGTTAAGCTTCCATTCGTTACTTCTTCTCCTGTCCTCAGGTGCTTTAGAGAATAGGTTGATCCCCTCTTCTTTGTGATTGCCCCTCAAATATTGGAAGGCTGCTAACATGTCACCCCAAAGCTTCTCTTCGTCAGACTAGACAATCCCAGTTTCTACAACCGTTCATTATATGTTTTGGCTTTCAGTCTCCTAATCATCTTTATTGCTTTTCTCTGCACTCTTTCTAGAGTCTCAAAATCTTTTTTGTATCATGACAAAAGGTGGATGCAATATTCCAAGTGTGGTTTTACCAGTGCAATATAAAGCAGTTACTAACACTTCATGTGACCTCCATCCGGTGGTCATGCTATCTATTCCACATTTTTCTCTTACCAAGTAGTAATTTGTGGTCTTGTTAGATTGGACTATTCTTTGCCTTTGTGAAAAGACGGACGCAAAGAATGAATTAAGCAGTTCTGCTTTCTCCCTACTGCCTGTTACCTCGTTGCCATCTTCTCCCATTAGTGGACTGTTGCTTTGACTTTTTTCTTGTTTTTTTACATGTTGAAAGAAACTTTTTAAAATTATTATTGATATTTCTTCCAAGTCTTAGTTTGTTTTTAGCCTTAGCTTTTCTCACTTCATCTTTGCAAATTCAGGCTATTTGCTAGTATTCTGCTTTAGTTCTGTGTTTCTTTCTATTTTTTTATACTTGTCCTTTCAGTTTATCAGAGAGTTCCTTATGCAACCATGCTGGTTTCATCTGGAGTCTCTTGTTTTTCTTTCTCAGTGATATTGTGCTACACTGGGCTTTTATAATCTCATTTTTCAGTTTCCCAAGCTTCTTGAGTCGTTTTCCCCTTTAAGATTTTCGTCCATGGATTCCTTCCTAAGCTTCCTCTAGGTTTGTTAAAATCAGCTCTCTTAAAGTCTAAGACACTAGCTTGACTTTGTTCTACTGCTTGTGTCTGCTTTTTGTTGAATTCCAATATGGCATGATCACTTTGCTCTAAAGTTCCTGCACCTTCAACACCCTCTATCATTTTATTTCTGTTAGTAAGGATTAAATCCAGTATAGCTGACCCTCTAGTTCCTTCCTCTACCTTTTGGGTGACAAAATTGTCTGCTAGGTTTGTCAGGAACCTGTTTCATCACCCATTACTCTTCTAGTGTGCTTCCTGCAAATCTTAGCTAACAGTTGAGCCAAAAAAAGTCTAATTCCTTTGTTTGCTTGGCTATTCTGTAGTATACATCTATGGCAATGTCATTCCTTTTTGCTTTTAGATTAATCCAACGTGGATTAATTATTCAGGTCTGAACTTCAAAATCTTCACTAGTTTTGTTAATGATTTTGAAGAGGTAGAGGGAATATTTGTTAAAGTTGCAGGTAATGCAGAACTTAATGTAGTAGTGAACAGAAACTGATTAGAGACCTGCAGTGAAAATAACAGAATGAAGTGCCGATAAAGATTCTCAGTCATCCAGGCAGAGATGTCTGAAGATTGTCTGAAGTTTTCTAAAGGTGAATCATTGCAACTGGCCTGGTTTTATTTTCAGAGATGTTTCACTGCCCATGCAGGCAGTTTCCTCAGTCAGAGCAGGGTGGTTAGGCAGAGAGTCATTGGAATGTACCAACTCCTGCCACGCCAACCTCTATGAAGGTTGTCTGAAATTGTCTGGACTAATTTTTTTTTTAGTTTCAGAGATGTTTCACTGCCCATCCAGTTGCAATGATTCAACCTTCAGACAACTTCAGACTACCTTCAGACATCTCTGCCTGGATGACTGAGAATCTTTATTGACATTTTGCAATGTTGGAGAAGAATCCCCTGAGGTTGATGTGGCAGGAGTTGGTACATTCCAATGACTCTGTGCCTAACTACCTTCCTCTGACTGAGGAAGCTGCCTGCATGGGCAGTGAAATGTCTCTGAAACTAAAAATTAGGTGAGTTGCAATGATTCAACCTTCAGAAAACTTCAGATAACCTTCAAACAGAATGAAGTATTAAATAAAAATGAATCAAAAGTCACAATATTTGAACGCATTTAAATGTTCTCTGAAATCCAGCATATGACAAAAGTCAAACACCCAAACTTGATCTACAACTTGATGTTCATATGTGCATGTGCCAGGTGGATGTTTAAAGCAGATTATATCATAACAAGCAAGAAACAAAATCTAAACCAATTATTAAAATGGGGTTTTCTTCCCAAGGAATTAAAAAAAAAATTGGAGTGACTTCCTTTTATGGAAATTTGATTCTGGAAAGGAAGGATGAATCTCCCCCCCACCCCCCTTCAGATTGCCTCTGCTTCATACTTTCTATTTTTAATTATGTGTACCAAGCAAAGATGCATTTAATATAACCTGCAGCTGGATCCTCAGTGCATGCTCTTTTCAGCTACAACTGCTTTTGCCCAGGAACTGGAAGAGGGCAAATGAATAGAGCTGACAAAAAGCTCACTGTTGGTCTCTAAAGTGCTTTCCAAATCAGAAATGTTATTCCCTTATTCCAAAGGAATGATGCATTTGAGAGCGTGGTGAGTGATTGCTTGAAAATAACACAGGCCAATTTTCTTTCTTTCCTTGATCTCTCATCTGGATAGCTACCACAAATCACTAACTGGTCTTGCTTCTTTCGTTCTCTGCCTTCTTTCCTAGTAAGTTGTCATAGTCGGTATTGTTTATCCCCAAAGCAGATGCCCTGCCTGGCTATACGTATACAGACCCCTGCGCATAGCGCAGATGGCTGCAGAAATGTTACACTAGGCACTGTATTCTGCAGAAGGCAGAATCTGTTGGTAAGTGATTATGCACCAACCAGAGAAGCTCTCATAGGAAATGTTAGCAAGAGGACCAGAGAAAGGTGAAATCAGTGGAGGTGAGGGTGGCAGTGATAAACTTCTCAGAATGCCTGGCAATTAATCTTGTGCTGTGAGGATCTGAGAGCCACAACCCAGTCCTTGGCAATGAAACACACTACCAGCTCCAGCTCCAGGGAGTTAATCTCATCTTTGGGAGCTTTCAAATGCCATCAGGCTTAGAGAGATATTAATTCTGAGAAAGAGCAAATGAAGGAGGCACATCTGAGGGGTACCCTTCTCAGTGAGGTGTGTGCACAGGCTGACGTCCAGCAACCAAATATGAGAAAGATTTGTTCAGGATTTTTCTTGGGAATTTGAACAAGAGCTTTCAGAAGGAAATCAAAAGATTGAAAATAAGAAAAATAACACTCAGGGGTCTTTTAGTCAGAGGAAAGAGATGACACTTGTGAACAGTATACATTAGTGGTTACTGTTTTTATATAATCATCACCCCCATCTTGAAAAGATTGCCCTTAATACTGGCAAGATTCCCTGAAGCACAAGTGCTTTGCCTCACTTATCTTTCACATACAGTAACTACAGACGCAAATGCAGTTTTCAAATTTAACAGCAGATGTCTCTCCTATTATGATTTATCCAAATGTTTCCAATAAAGTATGCAAACGTATTTACAATAAGAAGTCCCATTCCTGAACAGAGCCTCATCAATAGTGCTGTGTCAACAATGTTTGAAATTATTTCTCAAGAGTATAAACATAATATTTCTAGCTTTATGATTAGGTTACTCAAATACTGGATCAAAATCTGCTACTTCCCTGAAAAAATAGAATGTAAAGAAGCATAATTATATTCATTTCATGGACTTGTATTGTTCTACAAACAAGAATGGATTAGTTAAGTTTCTTGAAGATGCCATCTACAGTGCAATTTTTCTGGACAAGTTTCTGAGGCAAAGTATGCCTTGAAAGAGACATTGGCAGTAAAACACTTAAGCAAATTCTCCCACAGAATTTGCTTAAGTGGACATACTTGCCTCTTTTATTTAAAAGGGTACTTGGAAAAAGATAAATATTTAAATTTGTTTAAAAATGTAGGAACAGAATTATCACAGGGAATTAATTAATGGGCCTTAGTAGTAGGAAAGCAATAACACAGGATTGCTCATCCATAGCAAGATGTCTACAGATCCTGAACTTGGAAACAACTTCTGCTATATTTGGAAGCAAGGTAACATTAAGGGAATATGAAGTACTGGAGAACCTTATGACAAAAGAAGCCAAGGTGCTGGTATAAAGATAAATAATTATCCATTTAGGAAGAAGAGACAGAAATAGAAGAAACAAATATTCTATTTATCTCCGTTGGGAGACCAAAAATCTTTGTATTTGGATTTGTCTACAAGCTGCCTTGTAAAACTCATTTTTCTGGGCATTTTTTCTAAAGGTATTTCCTCAAGAGAAGCTTCAGAAATGCTAAGCAAGTCAAACTGCTCACATTCAAGAAGTCAGCACAACTCATTCTGCAGTAGAGAAAGTGAGGCTATACAATTCCTTTTTAAAAAAAATAAAATAAAACCACATTCTTCTTCTCATGCTGGATTTTTACTCATTTTTTATCAAATATTTCAAGTTCTTCAGTCTAAATAAATTAATGTTTATTCTAAATGAATGAATGATTAACAAAGAAACAAAATCAGGAGTAATATTAGCACAAATTCTAGTCTAGCATTAGATACTGGATAGCTACTCAAATGTGTACAGAAAAAAACACATAAAACAATCAAGGTAGCCTTCACTGAGGGCTCATCTCTGCCTTCTCTATTGCTGAACCTGATTAGTGAAACCACATACCCTTTGACATTTGGATGGCCCTGATTGAGATGATTTTTCATAAGGCATTAAAAATTTGGTTTGCTTCTCCAAGTCTTGACCCAAAAAATTAAATTATGTGTATATGAGCATTCCCCAGGCTTGATATGCTTCATGTTTTTCATGACCCTATTATTGTTTGTAATTTATTGTTTTCCATAAACTGTATGTCGAAGGGCAACCCTACAAATTGAACAAACAAACCTGCAAGTTCTGCTTCCTCCGACAGGAAGACAACCCGCAAACCAGTGGTGGGTTGCCCCCAGTTCGGACCAGTTCACAAGAACCAGTAGTAAAACTGTGGGAGGCCCCACCCACCACCTCAGATGTCATCATCAGCAATCTGCGCATGCACAGAAGCTTCTTCAACGCGATCCCATTGCGAACCGGTAGTAAAGGTAAGTAGAACCCACCCCTGCGGCAAACTATGGTATTTCTTAAGGGCAGGAGTGCACACCAACAACTTCAACCTATTCCATCTTGTTGCAAAGATAACCTCACTGTTTTTTTCTTGCTCCAGATCAAAAATATTGTTTTTTTACTCACCGTGGACTACTGGGATTGGACCTTCACACAGTGGATCAGAGAAACTGTATTAGTTTAGCCTGCTTCCCCTTCTAGACAAAGCTGCAGGAAAAAAGATAAAGCTGTCTGTTTAAATATATTTTTCATGAATAGTAGACATGGTAGACATACAGAAAGGTAAAATGTCAAATATGAGATGACCAACAGAGAGGGTTTCATATATGAGTTCTATTGAAGGAGTCCACATTTCCTCAAAGAATTCTCAGATCTCCCAAGGAAAGCAAAAGATCCTTGCTTTCCTCAATCCACCAGTCAGTGGCTGTGGTAACTATTATCAGGCCAGCATCATTGCTAAATGTTAAGACAGCACTGAAATCAGATAACACCAGCTTAATCATATCTTTCTTTCCTTCTTTCTTCATGATTCAATAGCTCCCACCCACCCATCTTGTTAAAAGCTGGATCTAGCCCAATAACTCAAAGACAGACTCCGATTCTTTTCTGTAGCTTTATTATAGATTTGATGGTACTGGAGGTCACTGACCTTGTACCTTTCTCTTTCAGGTATACATCTGGAGTACCCTGTGGACCACGTGGTTGGACCTTTTATACCCAGGAGGAGGGGCAAAGAGGTAAGGAGTGATTACAGGGGTTATGGGATATGTGGTCAGTTAACCCTTGCAGGTCCGGGTGATCAGGGATATGTAGTAGTTAGGCATTTACCATGACAAAACCCCCTCTAAATGCCTAACTGGGTACCTGGGGGAGTGATTGTATACATACAGAGAATACACAGGCACAGGCACGAATTACAAGTAAACACGCATTTTAGACATGAGGTATGCATGCTGTTTATGTGGTAGGGGTTTAGTGAGAATATCTGCTGTTTGCTCCTCTGTGTCACAGTGTACTGCCTTAATGAAACCTATCTCTGAAAACTGCCTGACGTGTTTGTATTTAATGTCAATGTGCCTAGACCGCTGACCTATGGCATCGGCCTTTGAGATCTCTATCGCTGCTTTGTTGTCTTCGTGGATAACTATGGGATATGGAGGGTTCAGCCCAGATGTTGCAGAGCAGGTCATCGAACCATACTAAATTGTTTGCGGCCTTTGATAGGCAAACAAATTCTTTTTGATAGGCAAACAAATTTTTTTTTTATTTATTGAGTGCCGCAGGAGGCTCGAAAGCGGAGCCTAGGGCAGCGGTGATGGTCTCGATTGCCTTTTGCAACTCGAGATCGGTAGGTGTCTTTTTCTGAGTGATTGTGGTTTCTTCGTGGTCGCTTTCAGAGTCGGGCTCTTCGTAGTCGCTTTCTGAATCCCCCTCGTCTGTTTCGGGGTTCAGGCATTTTCGCGCCAAGGGATTCAAATCCTGGCTTCCCATTGGCTGGTGCTCGTCCCAAGATGGCCGCCGGGAAGGGGGCGCGAAAATGGATTCTGCCAGCTCAGGATCATCGGGTTGGGGTGGCTTACCCTTTTTTGCTGGCTTTTCTCTCTCGGTGGTCTTTGGGGCCTCAATCACTGCTTCTTGCTGCTCGAAGAGGCTTTGAAGGTCCGCGATGAGGTTTTCTTTGTCGCTGCTTGCCTCCATCAGTTTCAGGATGGAGAGTTTGAATTTATTCAATAGCTCCCACCCACCCATCTTGTTAAAAGCTGGATCTAGCCCAATAACTCAAAGACAGACTCCGATTCTTTTCTGTAGCTTTATTATAGATTTGATGGTACTGGAGGTCACTGACCTTGTACCTTTCTCTTTCAGGTATACATCTGGAGTACCCTGTGGACCACGTGGTTGGACCTTTTATACCCAGGAGGAGGGGCAAAGAGGTAAGGAGTGGTTACAGGGGTTATGGGATATGTGGTCAGTTAACCCTTGCAGGTCCGGGTGATCAGGGAGATGTAGTAGTTAGGCATTTACCATGACACATCTCTACCCAGCAGTCCCTTTCCAGTGGCTCCACTCCAGTCCCTCATCCAGTAGCTCATAGACTCTAGGAGTGCTTTCTGCAAGAGCAGCTGTAGCTGCTGGCTTCTCAAGCCATACCTCTAATCCCTGTAAATTCTACAGAACGAATAGATGAGCACCAAGCAAGTTAAAAAACAAGGATGTCCCATTCCTAAAAGCATTTGAGTTTCCAGAGAACAATTTCATTCATATTTCAAGACAGTGAGAGGGTCAACCTCTCAGAATTGAGGTAGCTTACTGCTGTAGAACAATGGAAATGGAGGGACATCTCCTTTCCACTCTATATTCTAAGGAGATGGTGGGAGATTCTGTAAGAGCTGTGAAGATACTCATGAAAGGGGAGGGAGGGTTCATCTTTCTCACCAAGTTAGCCCAGTGTTTATATAAGATAAAACTCTGGCAGGTAGGTCTATATTTTCACCTCTCACAAGATAACTTGACCTAATTTCAATAAGTTTTAAGATTGAGAAGAAGATAAAATACTGAATATATTATATGAGGTAGTAACATGGTAAAACTTGTCAAGCTCAGGAAATCTGGAACCAAGATAAGTTCAAGATAAGTGTAAGCACTACACATTTATGCAACCTATAAACAAGAATCTGAATCAACTAATGGTCAAGTGAATAATAAAGGTAAAAGTCATCAGACTTCATGTGGGGCTGGACTTATATCTCTTACAGGAATGTAGTGACTCCAAACTGATAAAGCATTTGATTGCACAACCAGCCTCAGTAGTTCATCTACATATCTATGATGAATATGAATTTTATGTTATTTCAAGATAACAACATTAAGACATGAAATGAAGCTACAATTATCACTGTAGAATAGAATTTCTGTGATTAAGATGTTTTACCTAGAATGTTATTTTTGTTTCAGACAATATCTATTTTGACAACTGATGTGCCATTTAAATAATGGCAGCAGGATATATCTAAATTTTATGGCAGGAGAAAACAATGAATTAAATATAAGATACTACAAGATGCAAAAGAAAGTGGATTAAATCTATCAGATTTGGAAATATATTTTGCTGCCTGTTGTTTAGTTTGGATGAAGGAATATGGGTGTTGTTAAGAAATAGAAAGTTATAGAAAGAAGGACATGATATAGGATTTGTCATGGATATTTATGGTGTGATAGAGCCAAGGTTAATGTAGATTTCAAAATTCATTATGTCAGGAGGGCCATTCTAAGAGTATGGAATAAATATAAATTTAGGTTTTGCCCAAAACCAACTTTGTGGCTTTTATAGATGAGAAATGATATGTAGATGAGAAATAATAAGTAAACATAAATGGCTAACTTACTGTGATGTATTAGAATTTTCTGAAGAAGATTGTAAAATGACATTAATAGATTTGACAATAGCATATCCTTGCCAATGGTTTTCTTATGTACAATTATCAGAAAGCTGTAAGGTAAATGAAACATTTTATAATTTTGAGCAATGTAAAACTGAGTTTGAAACAAAATTATGTACTAATGATGAACATGTAATTGCTAAAACGTATACAATTTTGTTGAAATATGAGACAGAAGAACAAGTGAAATGATGCATGATAAAATGGGCTAAAAACTTTGGTTACAACATACAAATGGAACAATGGGAAAATATGTGGCTGAAAGCATTGAAATTTACATTATGTTAAAAGTTTTTTTTAAATGATATATCATTGGTATTGTCATCAGAGGAATTATCTAGAATGTATAACTGTGTTTGGAATCATTGTTGGAAATGTGGACATAGCATTTTATCATGATAGTGGATGTTTAAAAAAACCAAAACATCTTGGACACAATTTATATATTAATTCAGAAGATTTAAAAATTAAAGTATAACTGGAACCAGAGACTTTTCTTTTGGGACTAATGGAGAAAAAGTCATGAAACTTCATTTTTATATATGACAACTGCAGCAAGTTGTCATATACTTGTTACTTAAAAGTGGAAAGGTTCAATGCTACCCACAATGCAGGAATTGTAGGTGAAGGTGATGGAGTTTGCAGAGACCGCTAAATTAACTTCCTTGATCAGACATATCAAATAACTACATTTATTGTTGACTGGAAACTGGAAATTCCTTATGGACTTTTTGCTTGAAACAGAAAAGTGCATGTATGATTTGTGATTTTTATGATTAGAAAAAAAATGGATAATAGAAAAGTGAGTGTTTTTGTAATCATCGAGTAAGAGGTAATTTTGTAATAATATTTATATTTGATGCAGAGGAAATTATAGAAGCTTTGTTGTTTCTTTTTATTCTTTCTTACTGCACTTTTGGGTGTTTTTTCCTTTTTGTTGTTTCTATTTTGCATTAATTTGGGTTAGTTTTTATGCTCTCTTTAAAACTTTTAATATTTTTTTAAAGATAGCTTGGGCTTCTTTCTTGAGTGGCAGTGTCCTGTCACCTTAGCAACTAGGCTATCACACTTCTCTTGGCCAGTGCCCTTATCATGTTGCTGCCTGGGCTGGTTGCCTTGGTAACTGGTACAGCAGCCAAGGCAACCAGCCCCAGTTCTGGTCCCCTGCTGGAGGCAGGTCTCCTTTACTTGCCAAGCTGAGGTGAACCATACAATCCTTGTTGGTTTTGAGTTCAGGGGTTTCACATAGGCAGACTGGTATTAAAATCTCTGCTTTCATCTCTGTAAAGGTTGAAACCTTCAGGATTGTTGAAATTAAGGCAACACAATTGGTCTTAAAACTAAAAAAACAACAGTAATCAACAATAAATCAGTATAAGAGTAAGATATTTCTCCCTCCCCTG